ACACGCTCACACACACACACTAACACACACACACACACTCACACACAGACACACACTAACACACAGACACGCTCACACACACACACTGACACGCTCACACACACACACTCACACACAGACTCACGCTCACACACACACACGCTCACAAACACACGCTCACACAAGCACACACGCGCGCTCACACACACGCACACACGCTCTCGCACACGCTCACGCACACTCACGCTCACACACGCTCACGCACACTCACACACGCTCACACACTCGCTCACAAACACGCACGCTCACAAACACGCACACACGCTCACAAACACGCACGCACACACGCACACACGCTCACACGCGCTCTCACGCACGCTCACGCTCATGCACACGCTCACACACGCACACGCTCACACACGCTCACACACGCACGCTCGCACACGCTCGCACACACACGCTCACACACGCACGCACACACACGCTCACACACACACGCTCACACACGCACACGCTCTCACACGCTCTCACAAGCTCACGCTCTCACACGCACACGCTCTCACACGCACACGCTCACACACGCACACGTATGCAGAATCACACACGCACGCACACACACGCTCACACACACACGCTCACACACGCACACGCTCTCACACGCTCTCACAAGCTCACGCTCTCACACGCACACGCTCTCACACGCACACGCTCACACACGCACACGTATGCAGAAGATGTCTAAACACAGACAGGTAGTGTCGGGGTTGTTCTAACACACTTCACAGGAGGATTTCCAGGCTAAAAATACCTGCAGCATCACAAACCACATCTAACAGCAGAAAACTGCAAAACCCTGCATTACTGCACGAACGCAGCAGTGTGAACTATAGCACCAAAACAAAGAGCTCGGGATGTTTTCTGACACAAACACGGGTGAATCTCACCAAACACATCCAGCTCGCATTCATTTCAGCAATGATGTGCACCGATAAATCAGGTATAATAAACACTGCAATATTCCATAAAAAAAAAAAAAATCAGAACTGTCAGTTTTGATTTCATGGTGACTTTAAGGTTCCTCATAGAGGAGAAACGAGAGCCGGATGAGCTGCGTGAGATTCAGAGCCTCTTATAATAACAGTCTGACATGAGTCTGTTCTAGGAAATCATCTATCATTCTTGAGTCTAACCACACACACACACACACACACACACACACACACACACAGACTGAACTGACATCAGACAACTCAGCATTGCCAAAAATGACGCACAGACCTGCTGATGGGGCGGGCACACAAACACACACACACACACACACACACATGTGGTTTCACAGATGTAGGTGCCAAGAGCAGGGGCTAAAACTTAAAAATAGAAACTTTTCTGCTTATCTAATTTAGTTTCAGTAGGTTAATGATCCGTTGAGCATCAAAAGTCACGTTTATAGTGAGCGTCTGTAAAGCACACATGCACACAGATTTCAACAGGCTCGTCGCCAAAAGAGCATCGGTTTGATTTGCTTGCATGCAAATCCGTCATAACACAGAAGAACATTCATAAAAAGCATCGACCCGTTCCTGTCGCTTACCCAGAATCCCCCACCGCTTATTCTGAATGAGTGCGTGTGCATTTATACACGTGTGGGCGTCTTTTACTAGTTATATTCACAGCTGCTGGTGGGAAACGCGCACTCATTAGAATAGTGATTGTGTGAGTTCTTGTGAATGAGTGTGTTCTGGTAGAAGAGGAAGTGTGCGACCGCAGCGAGAGCTTCACCTGAGCGTCTGAGAGAGTCTCCAGCGCCTGCAGGACTGACTGCTCCGAGCGGCACGACTGCGACTGCAAACACACCACAACAACATGCATGCATGAGAACACAAAACACTGTTAAATGAGCCCAAAGCATTTTGTTTGCATCACACTCATCAATCACGAGGTCTTTAAATGCAAAAACAAGGAAGAGTTTTATACCATCAGTCCGGCTTCAACCGTGGGCACCAGCGTCAGTCTGCTTCCGTCAGCCACACCGAAATCCAGCAGCTTTCCTGAGTTTAACCTCCTGCGGACGGAGAACACAGTCACTCAGACTTCCCATCATGCATCTCTCCAGCATTCATGAGATGGTTTCAGTTCAGTGTGCTTTGCCTTTCTGAACAAGCGTCGCTGAGATCTGACGGCGGCATCATAATAATGTTTCTGTAGTGTAACACACTGAAATGAATCACTGAAATATATCCAATTACTATTTATAAACTGCACTTTAGCTGGCTCATTCCAGCAATTAATATTCAGTAATATTATTATCGATTTGACTGCACTGACACTATTATAACCTTCAAAACCTTTAGGCATTCTATGTTGTTGTTGTTTACCAAGTAAAGAAAATGCAAGGAATAAACTGAAGGGAACACTATACACGACCAGTCAAAAGTTTCTGAACAGTAAGATTTTTAATGTGTTTTAAAGAATCTCTTTTGCTCACCAAGCCTGCATTTATTTGATCAGGAATACAGCAAAAGCTGTAAACTTGTGAAATATTTTTACTATTTAAAATAACTGCTTTCTACGTGAATATCTGTTAAACTGTAATGTATTTCTGTGATGCGCAGCTGTATTTTCAGCATCATTACTCCAGTCTTCAGTGTCACATGATCTTCAGAAATCAGTATAATATGCTGATAAACATTTCTGATTATTATCAATGTTGAAAACAGCCGAGTAGAGTTTTTTCATCTTTCTTTGGTGACTAGAAAGTTCAGAAGATCAGCATTTATCTGAAACAGAAATCTTTTGACAAAAACAAACAGTTTTAGGCTTAATTAATAGCTCTGATCCAAACGCAGAATAATCTTTAGATCACAATACTGGAGAAGCAAAGAGAGTTTAAGCTTAAAACAAAACCAAATATCTGCAAATAGGCTTAAAAATCAACTTGGAAAACAAGTTTTCATCCACCAGTGACAGATGCTCGCTCTCGTTTTAAGCTTAAACTCACTTTTGCTGCGTTTCTCAGACAACTAGACCTCATTTCTGCATCTCAGATAAATGCATCTTGATTTGAAGATGTTTAGATATGTGCTCTAGAAAACAAAACACCGCAAGCATTCAACATTTATGAATTTAAAGCTTTCTGGTCTAATTTAAAAACCTTTTAAGGCCTTAATTTGTGGAAAGGCGAATTAAGACCTCAAGACCTGATGTTCTGATCCGGATCACTCGAAGAACGCAAGCAAACACGGATCTGAGCGCGACTAGATCCCGTCAGGAACCGGGAAGCGGAGCTGGATCTCGCGGACCCCGGGCTTGGACTCACGTGTCTCGGTGCAGCAGCAGCAGTCGCTCTGCGGGAACCCGGAGCTTCTCGGACAGCCTCCGCTTCAGCCCCAGCACGGTCTCGTCCAGCGGGACGGACAGCTCGAAGCGCGATCCTGTCGTGGAGCTGATCGATACGTTCATGGACGCGTCTCCGTTCAGGAGCTCCGGACACCGGGACCGCGGTCCGTGACTGCTGCAGCTCCGCTCCATCCGACAATCCCGTGCTCTCTGAACCGAGCGGGGGACGGTGTGTGCCGTAACGAGCGCGATAATCCTTCCGCGACCGGAGAAATATCCGTTCGGTCCTCTGAGGTAAATCCACAGCCGCCGATCTGCACAGAAACACGCCGAAATATCAATATCAGAAGGCCATTAGGATCCGAATGTACATCTCTCTCTCTCTGTCTATATATATATCGAATGTTATTTGTTTATTTTAAATGCCGGTTTTTTTTTTTTTTTTTTACCTCGACTCTTAAGCCGATCGCTCGCTCTTCTGTGCAGCGCAACTGCTGCGTCTGCATTTGTTGCGAGGTCCCAGCAGTGAGATCCCGCCCACCGCCACAAACAACCAATGGCGTTAGCGGATACGCTTGCCTTCGCCGTGTCAGCCAATCAGCTGTCCGCTCGTAACACCCACATGCACATAGGCACCGCCCTGTCCGCTGCGATAATAGTTGACGTGACCAATCAGAGAAGCGCAGAGAGAACAGCCACGCCCCTTCCCGCAGTGATCATTCATAACAGCTGAGAGCAAAGCATTTGATTAAGTTAAATCTAGCTTTCCTGAAACGACAACATAATAAAATTATTACGCATTTTTAGGAAAACATCACTTGCACAAAGCCAAGGCTATTTATTTATTTCATTGGTTTTTGTGCAAGTGAAATTTTAGAAAAAATATTTGTATTTATTTATTTAATTGGCTTTTGTGCAAGTGAAATGTATTAATTGATCATTTTTTTTTAATTTGTTTCATGCGCATATTTGTCTAGGTGACAGGAGCTTCCAGTGCAGAAAAAAAGTACGGACAGATTTGCACAGAAATTAAGGTGATAAAATGCAATATAACACAATAATAAAGAAAAAATGACAATAAAAATGTTATATAATACAACATTAACAAAAAATTGAAGTTATATATTTTTCATATATACATATATATATATATATATATATATATATATATATATATATATATATATATATATATATATATATATATATATATATATATATATATATATATATATATATATATATATATATATATATATATATATATATATATATATATATATATATATATATATATATATATATATATATATATATATATATATATATATATATATATATATATATATATATATATATATATATATATATATATATATATATATATATATATATATATATATATATATATATATATATATATATATATATATATATATATATATATATATATATATATATATATATATATATATATATATATATATATATATATATATATATATATATATATATATATATATATATATATATATATATATATATATATATATATATATATATATATATATATATATATATATATATATATATATATATATATATATATATATATATATATATATATATATATATATATATATATATATATATATATATATATATATATATATATATATATATATATATATATATATATATATATATATATATATATATATATATATATATATATATATATATATATATATATATATATATATATATATATATATATATATATATATATATATATATATATATATATATATATATATATATATATATATATATATATATATATATATATATATATATATATATATATATATATATATATATATATATATATATATATATATATATATATATATATATATATATATATATATATATATATATATATATATATATATATATATATATATATATATATATATATATATATATATATATATATATATATATATATATATATATATATATATATATATATATATATATATATATATATATATATATATATATATATATATATATATATATATATATATATATATATATATATATATATATATATATATATATATATATATATATATATATATATATATATATATATATATATATATATATATATATATATATATATATATATATATATATATATATATATATATATATATATATATATATGTGTGTGTGTGTGTGTGTGTGTGTGTGTGTATATATATAAAGACAACAAAATTTTAATATAATACAACACAGTAATAAATATATATATATATATACACATACATAGTCTATAGGAATATGAATGGATGGATTTACAATATGAAATTATTTATTTTGCATATACGTTTTACATTTTATAAATCTGACAAAACACCTCTTTTTTAAGGATTTAAATGAATGTTTATAAATGTGGGGGGTGATGTCTTAGCTTAGGAAGAGTCCTTTGTTATTAATGATATTTTCATTGTTATCTGGGTGATGGATTGTATTGTTCGGCTCAGTTCTGATGCAGTGTGAATGAGAGGACGTTCATTATCAGGGGGTTTTCATATCTGAGCTGTTTACTGTAGTGTTTGTGTCCATCATCATCATCATCATCATCAGAGTGACTCAACACATCAAACACTCACTTCCTGCTTTCCCCAGCGCTGCAGCGTTCAGGAGTTTCTGATGGTTTGCTGAAGTTATGAATCATCGTCTGGGGTTCGGATCTGAGTGAGTGTGATGTTGTGGGAGCAGGTTTGCGCTCCGGAGGAATGTCGAGTCAAATTCCAGCCCTGTTCCTGAAACAGAACATTCCGACACCGTGATGCGTGTTGTTTTAGTATTGTTCTACAGTCTCCACGCAGGGGTGTCTTATGTAAAGGTTACAGTAATGTGAGCTGCTCACGGGTTAGTCAGAGTCTTTGTTAAACACAGTAGACACGATACGGAGCACAGCTTGGCTCATCAATCACTTAAACCTGGCTGCTTTTCAAACCTTCCCATCAAGTTATGAAAACAGTCTCGGAATGTTCAAAATGTAAAGGCTTTTAAAAACTTCTTTTGTTATGGGAACATTCTATTTGAAACGTTCAAACAGTGTTACTTTTAAATGTTCAATGAACGTTCTAAAAAAAGTAACATTTAAAAAAACGTTACATGAATGTCCAACTAAAACCTTTCAAGAATAAAATGTTCTATGAACAATATATATAAATAACACTTTGTGCTAAAGGACATTATTAAAGAGAAATGGAAGAATGTTTGTTCATAACTTTGAGAAGCGTTCTGAGAATGCTCTGTTGTCTGTGAAGGAGCAGTTATTTACTTCATCTCAAACCCGTGTGCTGTTATCTGAGGAACACACAGATTCCATACAGACAGATCACGGCTGACATACTGTCAAAAATGACTGCTTTTTATGTCAAATCTGGAAACCTATGATTACATATTTTGAAAAGATGAAGACCCTGCCTTCTAACTAATTAATAGGACTAACGTTTTAGAAAGGCCATCGGACTTTAAAATACTTGGTTGTGTCATGCTTGCTTATATATCTACACAGAAAGACCATTTGAGTGATTTCTTATTTGTATTCTTTTTTTTTTGCTATTTTGTATAGTAAGCACTCACTTTATTCATATAATTATTTGGTTGTTTGGTTATTTATCTATTATTTTTCTACTTTCTGTTAATTCAGGGTTGTGGAATGGGGTGGGGAAAGAAAATACATAATTATATAATTGTTTGAAATTTTTTTGTTTAAACATGTTTGAAAAATTAATAAAGTGCAAAAAAAAAGGACTGGTTTTTAGACTGTTAGAGTACTTTTAATTTCAGTCTTTCTACTTCAAAATTTCACTTTTAATTCAATGTTGAAAACAGTCGCGCTGCTTCATATTTTTGTGGAAATTGTGGCACATTTAGTTTGTCAGGATTCACAGATGAACAGAAAGTTCAGAAGAACAGCATTTATTTGAAATAGAAATCTTTTGTAACATTATAAATGTCCTTATTGTCACTTTTAATCATTTTCAATGCTATTTAAGTTTTTCTACTTCTAAATATCACTTTTAATTCAATGCTACATGCCTTTTTTTTGTAATCATTTGTGATATTTACTAGCAATTTCTGAGTGAAAATAGTTTCAGTCTAAACTCAAAATTTGATGTTCAAAAACAAAAGTTCAGTTGGCTCAATTTAAAAATATGAACTGAATATGTTTAAACACTGGCACTTTAGTGGAACCAACTGAACATTTTCAATGCAGCAATCAACACAAAACTCTTTCAATCTCTCACAGTGGACAGATACGATACTTGTATTGGTGTTTTGTCGTTTTTGGAGCTCGACATTCTTTACGTTCATGCATTTAGCAGATGCTTTAATCCAAAGCGACTGACCCGGAGTATGATTGCGCATCAGAAGCGTGTCGCTGGGATTCAGATGAGATGCGAGGGTCCTTCAGGCGTCTCATGAGGAGAAGCTCAGCGGGATTCTGTGGAGATCCACTGTATTCCAGCCCACACCCGCCTCTTCATCCTCATCCTCATGCTGCGCGCTCACACACCAGCTCTCAGCTCTCTCAAACACAGATTTACATGTTAAAATACCACATTCTGATTAATACGCATCTGACTGAACAGAGGTCTGAAGTGAATCTGCTGTGCGTGATTATATGAAAAATATCTGGCCACTAATAATGTAGATCCTGTAACTCAAGCTGTGTAACAGTTTTTCTCTCTAAAGATTATTGGAATGTGTTTTACAAGAAAATACGGTTTCAGTTTTTCTACTTCACAATGTCCTGTTTAATTCAATGTTGCTTGTCATTTCTTTGTAATTAATTGTAAAATGTACTAGTGAAAATTGCCACTGTTTTGTTTTTCAGTGTACACTTAAATAAAGCAGATGAATTCACATTAAACACAAGACTGTTTTATATACACTGCTGCTCAAAAGTCTGGGGATTTTTAATGCTTTTAAAAGACGTCTCTTCTGCTCAAGGCTGCATTTATTTAATCAGAAATACAGTAAAAATTCTGACAAATTATTAGAATGTAAAACAGCTGTTTTCTATGTGAATATCTGTTAAACTGTAATGTATTTCTGTGATGCGCAGCTGTATTTTCAGCATCATTACTCCAGTCTTCAGTGTCACATGATCTTCAAAAATCATTCTAATATTCTCGAGAAACATTTCTGATTATTATCAGTGTTGAAAACATTAATATTTTAGTGGAAGCTGTGATGCATTTTGTTTTTCAGGATTCACAGATGAATAGAAAGTTCAAAAGAACAGCATTTATTTGAAATAGAAATCTTCTGTAACATTATAAAGGCACCTTTGATTAATTTCATGCTTCCTTGCTGAATACAAGTGTTGATTTGTTTGTCTTGCACCATCTGGGGTCAGAGGTCAGTTCTGCAGCATCTGTGTGTAGCCGTTTCTGGCAGCTCAAACTCTCACAAAGCGTTTCACATCCACGCCTGCAGAAGCCTGAGAACTTTCACTTCCTGTTTGCTCTGTGCGTTCTGTGACAGGCGTGAGCGCTCGAGCACAACACAGAGAGGACCGAGAGATGCTGCTCAGAGCTCCTGCAGAGGTTTGTGTGTCAGCGTCAGAGAACATCCAGTAAAACACAGCGATGAGATCAGTGCAGAGATCAGGAAGCCGCTGCGGCCCACGGTTACGAAGGCTTCCAGTAATGAGCATCTGAAGTCCAGGGTCACACATTCAATCAGGCTCTTCTTAAACATCTCACTGATGACGAGAGCTGATCTTCATCTGATGTTCTCAGACCAGTCGTTCAAAGCTAACCTGATCAGGTTTTGGCCATCGGATCAAATCTGGGAAATGGGTTGTTAAAAAGACAAAAAGGAGTCTGAATTCGGATTAGATTGCATTAAATGCTCAGTTTATGTTGTTCAAAACGTTTTAGTACGATCAGGATACTTTTGATCCCAAAGAAAAACTGGATTGTTCTGATCCCAGCAGAAGAGTGGATTTCAGGAACAAAAATGTCATAACACTTTAAAACTGGTCCAAAACATACAACATTTGTAACATGTAATACATCCCCAAATCCTCAAACAGCTGTCAATGTCAAACTTGAACAATTTTTTTTTTTTATCACTGATTGTAAACTACATTGGCACAATCATCAGAAATGGACCAGTCAGAAGTAGTTAAAACTAGAATGCAAAAGCATTGGCTTTTTTCCCCCCATCTCATATTTTTCTCCATCAGCATGTCCCTTTAAGGGCTCCAGATTTCTGAAATCTGAAAAAGTGTGTATCTGATAATTGTGATCCAATCCAGTTTTGCTTTGAAAAACCAGCAGAGAAGTAAGACGGGTTACCTGATCCTGGATAGCAAAGCATGGGATTTCCAAATCCAGATCATTCTGATCCAGATGAAGTTTATTGAAGAACTGGACCCTGATGAGCATCAGGTCTGAAATGAAGGGAAACAGCGACACCGTGAGTTCCTCAGAAGAACTACAGCACTAACGCCTCGCGTGACTAAAAATGACTTTTCTGTCATGTCTCAAAACAAAACAAATTTTTCAAGAAAATACTTTTTACATTTATTTCAACGTGTTACTTGCCATTTCTTAGCAATTATGAAATTTTCAAGAGAGAGTGAAAATATTTTTTCCCCAGCTCAGTTTATGAATCAGTCACCTAATGTCTGACTCTGAGCAGCTCTAGACTGTGAGATTTCTATATAACAACAACATTAAATAGAAATTCATGAATTGCTTTTAAAAATCATAAATTAACTTACAAGTCCAGGAATGAATTTGATGTCATCAGAGAATCTGCAGGAGAAACACTGGATATATTTACAGAAAACAGCGCTTGAGTGCAGAGTTATTATCATTAACTAAAACGAAAACTCAAACTATAAAATAAAAAAGGAAAACTGATTTTATTTCAGCTAGTTATCAGCAAATGTTTTTGTTAGCCGAACCCCTTTAACCTGTATTTTAAATATATTTTCTTAGAGTCCCACTGAGATTTTAAGTTAATATTTCACGTGTTCACTGACATCAGGTAATGCTCACATGAAATGCAGCTTAACAAATCAAATATTTATATTTTATTATATTTAAAAATTATTTATTTTAATTTAATGTTTCTATAATATACTTTATATATAATTTATATATAAAAAATTAAAATGTTTCTATATATTATTGTTGACTGTTTTATTTTATTATTTTAAAAATATTTATTTAAATTTTAAATTTTTATAATTTAATAAATGTTAAGTAAATTATTTTGATTGCTTTTATTTTTTTTATTTTCAATTTTACATTTTTATGATTTAATTTCAAGTAAGTAATTTATTCTGATTGATTTTATTTTAAAATAACGTATTTTAATTTGACATTTGAGTGACATTAAAATGATTAGCTTTCCATCATCAACCCCGAGCTGGGAAACCCTGGACTGTAGCTTGAGGTGCTTCTTTTTAAATGTGCAAGTTGCACATTCATATGCAATATTTGTCATCTGCATAAATATTGCCACATTTTCATAAATAAATACATAAATAATAAGAGCTTGTGAGTTGTCAGATGTTGAATATAAAAGATCAATATCAGTATGCATCGTTGTGCTTATTTCAGTGACACAATCTGTCTTCCACAAACACACGGATCAATATTTGCGATGTGATGATCGATCATCTACAGCATCATCTGGATCGATCAGCTCTGTCACAGAAACCTGTGTGATTTTCACTGATGACCTGCAGATCTTTCACCTTGATGAGCACAAGCCTGTGTGTGTGTGAGTGTGAGCGTGTGAGTGTGTGTGTGTGTGTGAGCGTGTGAGTGTGTGAGAGAGAGTGTGTGTGTGTGTGTGTGTGTGTGTGTGAGCGTGTGTGTGTGTGAGTGTGTGT